TACTGAGGAAAGATCGGGTTACTGGTTTCACAGAGCAGAACAGTCTTATGACTGAACCCACAAGGATGCAGGAGAGAGCAGGCAAACTCTCATCTCTAGATATTTTGGATATGTCTTGTAGTCTCTTAGTGGACTTGACATTGGATTCCATGTGGAAGCAGAGGTTGGTAAGGGAAGGACAAAATAACCTTGTGTCTAACATGCTAGTGAAAATGGATGGTATCTCTTTAAGACAGAGTCCAGCCTTGGAATTGGTAAAGCTGGAGGATCTGAAAACTAGTAAACAAGTTAGTGTCTGCGTTGATGCAAATTACCTGCCTGACTGGGGGCGGGGAAGACTTGCCTGTAGCTGTTTGAAAAAGGAAATACCCAGCCAGCCAATGAATTCTGTTAAGCAAAAAAGAGCTCAGATTTTGACCCTCCGGAACAGGGAGAAAGGGAAAAAGTTCATCATGCTAATGAAAGCCACAGGTTAACCCTAAAATGCCAAAACCCCCAATGGTATTGAGCCAAAGGCATGGCATAACAAAAATGATTGTGAATGTACACTTGTAATAAATGTGATGTTAATATTAATGCTAATGTTAACTTTTGTGACTATGGTGCTGATACCAAGAACTGTAAAAATGAACAATGTACATGTTTTTTTGGAAAAAACCTTGAACAAGTTGGGAGTCAGACATAAGAACTTATTATGTTATAAAAACCTTCATGGTTATACTGTTTCATTACATGACAACACACTTTATGTTAAAAGGCCTGGCGATACTGATATTTCACAGTTAGTGCCTGTATCTAACTTTGAAACTGTACACAGCAGAAAAACCACTACAAGCTTGACTGCTGTGGAAAAAAGGGAAACTGAGGTACAACACCTCACAGCCTTCATGGCTGAATGCCAGAGTAAGTGCTCTTTGAAAAAAAATTAATGGCTATGTTAAGTTAACACACAGACCAAACCCTGGAATCACTCAAGTGTTTCACAAAGTATGTAAAAGCAGCAAAGTGTCCTGTGGCACCTTATAGACATATTGGAACATGAGCTTTCATGGGTGAATACCCTAAGTTTTTGGCTGGGGCCAAAGCATGCCTTAATAATTTGGCCTTACAAAGAATTCAATGTAAACACAGCTCATATCAGTCTTGGAAGGTCCTTAAGCAGCTTTAATCCAGGAGCTTTAATTTCTCCCTTCCACACCAGTCTCACAATGGGGGTGTGACGCATGGCTAGAAAGGGTTAAACACCCTGCAAAATAAATAACCCTGAAATGACACATGGGGAGATAATGTTTGTGTTTTTGTTTATTTACATATGTATGAGTAGGGTCGACAATGTAATCACCAGTCTCTGTCTATGCTGTATTCTGATAATTCAGAGGTCAAAAGAACATCCTAGCATTTAAATGAATTGTAAACACGGGATATCGCTGTATTGGGGGGGAGGGATAGCTCAGTGGTTTAAGCATTGGCCTGCTAAACCCAGGGTTGTGAGTTCAATCCTTGAGGGAGCCACTTGGGGATCTGGGCAAAATCAGTACTTGGTCCTGCTAGTGAAGGCAGGGGGCTGAACTCAATGACCTTTCAAGGTCCCTTCCAGTTCTAGGAGATGGGATATTTCCATTATTTATTTATTTATTATTATTTATTGATCTCTCTTTGAAATGTATAGCAAATAATCTGTGAATGCTGGAGGAACAAGCAAATTCCCTTATGTTAATTCTATAGCTAAGTACCGGTGATGGACCTCCTTCAAAGTCATCCTAATAACCTTTTGAACTCCACCTTGTCAAAAGACATGAATTGTATAAAAGATCCTTGGGCCCTGATTCTGTCATCTCAGATCTGCTTAGGCTTCATCAGGGGAAGTTTGAGTCACAAGACTGAGGTCCCAGTTATGCTAGTAGGTAATGTGTCCTATCCTTTGGGATTGGTAGAACCTTTTCTTTTATATGATGATGAAGTAAGATTTTCCTTGATTCAGTTGTCTGGACTTCTGAGAAACCAGTAAGGCAATAAAGAAGCTGTTTTGTGTTGGCTTGGTAAATCGAAGTATTGGAATATCCACCACCTTTTTGGGGATTGTCTGCCCCATTCTTTGCAGTTCACCCTAATTGAGTGACAATAGCTGGGCCCCACTAGGACCCCGGTCACAATAAGTGACGATTTTTTTATTTTTTAAAACAACTGTGTTCAAATATCCCTGCACACAGATCCCAGGAAATAGGCATCAGCCTATTGCTGGGCTACCACCCTGTAACCTTTACTTCAACAGACATTTTCCCCAGCATCTTTTATTCTTCTATTTCCTGCACATTCTTCCACGGGCTACAAAGACATTCACTTCTCATGTTTTCGACGTCGCTGCATTTGCAGACAGAAATGTGGCAGAACTCAGTGCCCCTAAGGGGCTTTTTTTTTTTTAAATGTTGCTGAACTGTCTCCCCATGGGAGTGTTTTCTTTCCTACTTTCACCATGCTTCCACTACGTTCTTGCTGGGTGATTAGTTAGTTCAGATTGTTGTGCCAGCTGCATCACCTGTTCCAGAGTTATGTTCATCATGTTCCAGTTCCATGAACTGTAATTCTTCTCAAAGTTCCTTGTTTAAAATCCCCAAAACTAGACGATCTCCTAGGGTCTTTCCTGATACCAAAGTCATATGCTCTCCTTGGTTATATAGGAAGCCTTATAAAGGTTTCCACACTCTAAGCGTCTGCACTTCGGTAAAAATCATGTTTTCACACAACGTTGCTTTTTGGAATGTCAGGCTTAAACATTTTAAGCATGTCATCATAGTTCTTCCTCATTCCCTCCTAAGTGAAAGCAAAGGACTTTTAAATACTTTGTTTCACTCTCTAATGCACAAATTAACAAGATGACCTGTACTTGTATTGTCTGACAATAAGCTTTGTTGTGATTCAAAATCCAGTGATGTGCTTCTTCCATTCAGGCTGTTCCGTGGGTTTAATCAAATCAAAAGTCTTGTCACGGGCTGAACTTTAGCATGTTCTTTTCTTATTCATATTGGTTCTAAAAGAGTCATCTTCTGACATCAAATCATATGACAATGGTAAATAATCACAGAAACTTGCTTTTTGCTAATTGTGAACAAGAAACTAAGAAAAAAGAAAACGGAGATATCCCTAAAGCTACTCTGATCTGTGCCTTTCTCTGCTTCACCATAGAGTTTCTGCCTACAACAAATTCCAGCCCTCCTCCTACCTGGATTCCTGGTACAGAGTTAAAGAAACTAACAGAGTACACTAACCTAGAAATGTGGTTGCTTATCAGAGGGACTTCCAAAGAAGCCATTCCAATTTTAGGGGGGCAAAATGTACTTTAAAGGCTTACATAAAAAAAAAAGTCCAGATCTATTTATTTATTTAAAATAAAGTTTATACAAAAAAATAGTTTGCATAAATTGCTAAAACCTCAGATATAACGATCAGGAAATTTAAACTTGGGGGACCCACGCTAACCGTAACTCAGCCTTGTTGCATAAATACAGTCAGACCAAAATTTACATCAGGCTCACATTAATATTTTAATCTATATGTGCAGCGTACCAGAGTACTGGCTGCTGCTGAAATTCTGTTATATATATACACACACACACACATATACACATAATATATAGTGTAATATACATATATGTTATATATTATATAGTATATGTAATATATGTAATATATAAATATTTAGTTATATATAAATTATGTTTATAAAAAGGTCAACCATACTACTGAATTAATGTATTGTTGTGTATTTAATTTTCCCTTCCATTAGAAAATGGAAACTAAATAATAACACAATTAGGGAAAAAAGAAAAATATGGAAGTTATAAGATGCCACTGGATTTGAGAGCACGTTCATTGTTAAACACTTTAATTTCAAACTTCGGATGCTAAGGGATGTCACTTTCTTGGACCACTGTAATGGAATCTTCAAGCTACAAAGAGAACTGATGTTGTGATGGGAGTGGAATTACTTCTAGCCTCACCACATTACTTCTGGCCAAGTCCTGAAGAAGCAAATTTATATTTGTATACACAGCATAGCTATCTGTTCTCTGTGAGCACTGCATCTATAAGGAAAGTAGCGTACTGCACACGTGCAATACAACTCGACTCATGCATAACTTTATTATCTAATTGTAATTTTTCAAACATCACACTACTCGGGAGTTTTAATTCCAATTCATTTGAGTTTTCCAGGCTCAAGAAAAGCAGCTGAAAATTCATGTAAAGCTTCAAAAGCACTTTTCATGTTTAGATAATGGATAACAGCCAAGTGGAATTTCATCAAATTATACAAAATTTACTCTAAAGGTTTAGAACAAGCCTGAAGAAGTTAATCCGAAGAACATGAAAGTACCTCCTTAGCCATACCTGTAGCATTACAAATACGGTGCTATGGAATCACGATTATGAAACAAAGGAACAGAAGCCAATCTTTATATTTAATGATTTTGTTCTTAATTAGAATGGTTGTACTCAACTGTATTCCAAGCAAAAGGACTTGATGCTAATTTTCCAGTATTCGGCAGCAACCTAGCATTGCCACTGATGTGTTAACAACCTCAGAGCAACAACCAAATATGACAGCCCTCCCCATCTCACCTTTGTCGCTACATTACTTCTAGCCAGTGACACTTTACAGCAGAGTATTAACTTTTCCATTTAGTATAACTTGTCATAAAATTAAGTTTGTTTTATACTGATAGATGTCCTTAACAGATGTATTCAAATATCTGATCAGATAACCTAAGAGTCAAATGAAGAGAAAGCAGAAATAAAGACTTTCTAAAGAAATAAGTTTCACATGCTGCCACCAAAAACAAGCCTCGATAGAACGTTTTTAAAAGAAAAAGCTAAATTCTGTAGACTCGTTTTTCAATGATGCTACTCAAAACACCATGTTGATAAATCAGAAAATGACAATACATACTGTGCTTAGATATACTTCTAAATAAGAACCACGATTTCAATGAGATATCACTTACCAAAATCTACCCTTGTTAGTATGCACTGCATTGGATGGTCAGTTGTATGCCTTGTTGTCGTTGCACCACTTTCATAACAAGATGCGCACAGATCGTAATCGTAGCAAATTAAACACTTGTATCTGCGACCTCGAAAATTTCCTTTTAAACATGCATCGCAGCTGACACCTGTAAACAAAAAAAATTGCTCATAAACAGTGGTAATTGCACTTTGTTTTGAAGGAAAGCAGGCTTGTCGCTATTTTTCCTCCACCTGAAGAAGGCACACAAGAAAACAAAACCAAACCAGGAAGGTTTTATGCAAATAAAACGAATTATAAGACTAAGCATATTTACTCCTCAAACATAAAAAGGCACATTCTGTCCAAAATGAAAAGCCTGAATTCTGCAAGTGAAGCACAAGAACACAATCAAATCACTAGTTTACTAACTAGTTAAGATTATAGTAGAACAGGGGTCGGCAACCTCTGGCACGCGGTTCGCCAGCGTAAGCACCCTAGTGGGCCGGGCCAGTTTGTTTACCTGCCGCGTCGGCAGGTTCGGCTGATCACAGCTCCCACTGGCCACAGTTTGCTGTCCCAGGCCAATGGGGGTGGCGGGAAGCTGCGGCCAGCACATCCCTCAGCCCGCGCCGCTTCCCGCAGCCCCCATTGGCCTGGGACGGCGAACTGCGGCCAGTGGGAGCCGCGATTGGCCGAACCTGCTGACATGGCAGGTAAACAAACTGGCCCGGCCCGCCAGGGTGCTTACCCTGGCGAGCCGCGTGCCAGAGGTTGCCGACCCCTGCAGTAGAACCTCAGAGTTACAAACTGACCAGTCAACCACACCCCTCATCTGGAACCGCTAGTACACAACCAGGCAGTAGCAGAGAGATAAAAAAAGCAAATACAGTAACTCCTCACTTAAAGTCGTCCTGGTTAACGTTGTTACGTTGCTGATCAATTAGGGAACATGCTCGTTCAAAGTTGAGCAAAGCTCCCTTCTAACGTCATTTGGCAGCTGCCTGCTTTGTCCACTGCTTGCAGGAAGAGCAGCCTGTTGCAGCTAGCTGGTGGGGGCTTGGAACCAGGGTGGACCGGCAACCCCCTATCAGCTCCCCGCTCCCCTAAGTTCCCTGTGCAGCAGCTGCCCAGCAGGCTATCAATTGCCAGCGGTTCGGCTGTCCCTCCCCCCACTGCCATGTGCTGCTCCTGCCCCTCTGGCTTGGAGCTGCTCCCCGAGACTCCTGCTTGCTGTGCGGGGGGGGAGGGCAGGAAGAGGGGGGCTATCAGGGTGTCCCCCTCCCCCTTGCTCCTGCATCCCGCTTACCCATCTTCCATAGAGCAGTGGGGACACAAGACAGGGCTCAGGATGGAGGGAGCTTGCTGGAAGCAGCTGCGGTCTCAGCAAGCTGATCTAATCAACAAGGCAGTGTACTTAAGAGTAGGGTCAGCGTACTTAAGGGGAAATGCACATCTCTCTCTCTCACACAGGGTGTGTGTCTCTGTCTGCGATGCTGTCTCCCCTCCCTCCATTCCTGCTGCCTTGTAGAGTGTCAGAGTTAACCCTTGAGGGCTCAGCCAATTGCTAGTTCATCATTTAGCAGTAAGGCATTCCCTGGGAAATACCCACCCTCTGACTCCTCCACCTCAACTAAGCTTCACAGTCATCATCGTGTACCAGTATTAAATTGTCTGGTGAACCTAACCCCCTCATTTACGTTAATTCTTATGGGGAAATTGGATTCGCTTAACATCATTTCGCTTAAAGTTGCATTTTTCAGGAACATAACTACAACGTTAAGTGAGGAGTTACTGTATAGTACAGTACTGTGTTAAACGTAGACTATTAAAAAATAAAGGGAAAGCAGCATTTTTCTTCTGCATAGTAAAGTTTCAAAGCTGTATTAAGTCAATGTTCAGTTGTTAACTTGCGAGAACCACCATAATGTTTTGTTCAGTTATGAACATTTCAGAGTTACGAACAACCTCCATTCCTGAGGTGTTTGTAACTGAGGTTATACTGTACAATCTTTTGTATGTGCTTTTAAATACAGACACAATTTTAGTAATTTGTTGTTTTTTTCAGAACACTGCCTGTAATGAAGCTTTGACTAAAACAATCTGAAGATGCTAAAAATTACAGTCAAGTGATGATGTAGCTAGTCCAGAATGTAGGTCTTTTAAAAATTGACAAAATCCTGAATTAAATCACTCTGTCTTTTGTGATTTTACTTCCACAATTTTCCATTTTTCTGATGCAACAGTTTGACAAAATCATCCTCACAAAACATATCTGCAGTAGCCATCTAGATCTCCTATTTCAAAACACTAGGAAAGAAGGAAAAAAACCAGGATTATGTTCCATCAGCCACTTTTCAGTTTCTTCCTTATTCTGAGCTCTAACTTTGTATTTAGGATTAGTCATGCTGGCTATGTCATGGAAAGGTTTCATAGCTTCTCCCAAGCATTTTGTGATGTTATCCATGTGGTTTCAATTCTTTGTTGTTAATTAGATAAAGTCACAGACTGCAAAAGGAGTGTCATCTGCTTATAATCTGTCAAATCTCTAAATTTCCTTCAATTGCTTTTGTAAATTACAGGATTCTATAGAAAGGAACTAGTGTAAATGTGTGCCATATGTTGCTCAAAGTCCTTTTCATGCTCAGTGCAAATTTGTACATGCTTTTCATAGTCGGCTGCAAGTGCAGACGCCAACTTCCTGGGAGTTCTACCAGGAGACACTGGGAAAGCTGGGACAACCATTCATATTATCCATAACAATGATGGTGCCTGCTGAAGAATGTTTGAATTTCCAGTCTGTTTTAGAGCTCTGTTAGGTGTTACTCCATGCTCAATCAGGTTTCAATAGCATACTCAACATCCATACATCGGAATTTTAGTGCAACGGCACTTCAAAAGCTCTTATTTTATTTTCATTGTCTAAGCAAATGGCAAAGATCTCGTTGTCAGACTTTTCTCTCAAGTGATGTCTTCAACAACTTAAACAGCATTCTGTGGTTTTCTTTTTAGACTCAGAATCAATAGGACTGAATAGGAATGGATTTCCCCCTGTATGGATACTTGTAGCCATTATCTGGCCATTTGTTTGACACTGTGCAATAGCATGAATATTGATTCTTTTAGTTCTTCCTTTAATCTTTCCTTCATTTCTTCACTTGCCACATTCTACTAGTGGACTTGTGAATTTAAATCTGCCTGGAAGAGTATATCCATGGGAAAGTGCTTCAATCATTTCTTTAAATTGCTCATGGCCTGGAACAGTGTTTAAGTGTTTCATCATATCTATATTTCAATGAAGATGATGGTATCAATGTCTCACTTACAGTATCAAACTCATGAATATTTTGATTTTCCCCTTCAATAGAGGGAAATCCCATTCAGTAGTACATTTGATCTTGAAGGAGCTAAAGAAACTTATTTCCTGCACTTTTTGAGACAAGCAAGAATCCTTTCAATATTGCTATTTAACTTTTGATAATGTTTACACGATTGTGAAGAATCATCTGTTTTCATCACTTCAGTTCACTCAATTGCTTGCTTCCTACCACTTCCTTCAACTTCAGGTACATGCAGTCAGATAAATTCACATCCTGATGTTTGATGATCACTGAACACTAACCAACCTCTGGCATTACTATCAGTACCTTTAACAATAAGGTGGGTAGCACGAATCGGCGGGTAGCAATCAATCTATCGGGGATCGATTTATTGCGTCTCGTCTAGACATGATAAATCAATCCCTGAACACGCTCCCCGTCAACTCCAGAACTCTACCAGCACGAGAGGTGGAAGTGGAGTCGACGGGAGAGCCGCAGCCATCGATCACACGCCATGAGGACAGGAGGTAAGTCGATCTAAGATACGTCGACTTCAACTACGCTATTCTCGTAGCTGAAGTTGCGTATCTGAGATCGATCCCCCCCTCCCTAGTGTAGACCAGCCCTTAGTACAGTTAGAAAGATAAGCCACCACCTTCCGAGTTCAATACAGTGAAGAGTGAAAAATATAGAAGATAGCCAACTTTAGAGAGAACCACATCATCAATTGCTCTGCCCATGCCTCTAAATTTTAAGCCCAGTCCCTCCAACAGTTCACAATTTCATTCGCTCCTCTTTCTTCAACATTCAATGACAGTTTATTACACCCACCAGACATGCACCTCTCTCCAATCACCAAATGATTCCACCCATTATCCTTCCCTTGTAGGCTTTTAGACAGTTCTGTCACTTTCTTATGTCATAATAAGAACCTTTAAGTTATCACAGCCTTTTTAACTCTTTAGAGTCCTCATTCACAGATTTAAGTGTGAAAATAAACTTTCTAGTGTCAAAAACTGTTTTCTTCACAAACATTTCAGAATGACACAGAAGTTCAAATAAAAAAAAAAAAGAGAGAGAAAACCCACTGGGTATTCTTTCTGGGAAAATAATGGCACAACCCTTAATTGAGAATATAAATGAAAACACAGCTTCTGTTTTTTTTAAATCTTTGTTAAAATATTAAATAAATACACATGTATGCACTCAAAAATGTTTATATGCCACAACATTTTCAAATAGCATGTCCGAAAGCTTTTTATAATCCATTCATAAATTTCAACAACTACAAAATGTATACACTAAAGCTGCAAAAAATAAATAATAATAATAATAATAATAATTCTAAAGACTTTTATCACATCACTACTACTTGTGTTCTGGACCTAGAATTGCAACATAGACAACAGGGGATGGATCACCTGTTCTGTTCATTCCCTCTGAAGCACCTGGCACTGGTCACTGTTGGGAGACTGGATACTGGGCTAGATGGAGCTTTGGTCTGACCCAATATGGCCGTTCTTATGTAAATATTACATCATCCAAAACACAGGTCGTCCACAACTCTGCATGCCAGCATTTCTTCACTTCACTCCAGGTCAGTATCACCTCATTTTTCTAACACAGGGATCGGAAACCTTTGGCCCGCGGCCCGCCAGGGTAAGCACCCTGGCGGGCCGAGCCGGTTTGTTTACCTGCCGTGTCCGCAGGTTCAGTTGATCATGGCTCCCACTGGCTGCGGTTCGCCGCTCCAGGCCAATGGGGGCTGTGGGAAGCAGCGCGGACTGAGGGATGTGCTGGCCACCACTTCCCGCCGCCCCCATTGGCCTGGAGCAGCGAACCGCAGCCA